TTTAAGACCACTGACTGCTATTCAATCTATAACAGTGAAAAAAGTTTTTTGTTTTTAAATCCAAGCTATTGTGACACCAGATATAAGTGGTGGCACTGGTCACCGTATCCACTGTTAGCGTAACACACCCCCTTTAGGACACTGACTGCTATTCAATCTATAACAGTGAAAAAAGTGTTTTGTTTTTTTAAATCCAAACTTTGTGTCACCAGATCTAATTGGTGGCACTGGTCACCGTATCCACTGTTAGCGTAACACACCCGCTTTAAGGACACTGACTGCTATTCAATCTATAACAGTGAAAAAAAGATTATTTTTTTTTTAAATCCAAGCTATTGTGACACCAGATCTAATTAGTGGCATTGGTCAGCGTATCCACTGTTAGCGTAACACACCCGCTTTAAGGACACTGACTGCTATTCAATCTATAACAGTAAAAAAAGTTTTTTGTTTTTAAATCCAAGCTATTGTGACACAGGATCTAATTAGTGGCACTTGTCAGCGTATCCACTGTAAGCGTAACACACCCGCTTTAAGGACACTGACTGCTATTCAATCTATAACAGTGAAAAAAGATTATTATTTTTTTTAAATCCAAACTATTGTGACACAGGATCTAATTAGTGGCGCTTGTCAGCGTATCCACTGTTAGCGTAACACACCCGCTTTAAGGACACTGACTGCTATTCAATCTATAACGGTAAAAAAAGTTTTTTGTTTTTAAATCCAAGCTATTGTGACACAGGATCTAATTAGTGGCACTTGTCAGCGTATCCACTGTTAGCGTAACACACCCGCTATAAGGACACTGACTGCTATTCAATCTATAACAGTAAAAAAAGTTTTTTGTTTTTAAATCCAAGCTATTGTGACACAGGATCTAATTAGTGGCACTTGTCAGCGTATCCACTGTTAGGTAACACACCCGCTTTAAGGACACTGACTGCTATTCAATCTATAACAGTAAAAAAAGTTTTTTGTTTTTAAATCAAAGCTATTGTGACACAGATCCTAATTAGTGGCACTGGTCAGCGTATCCACTGTTAGCGTAACACACCCGCTTTAAGGACACTGACTGCTATTCAATCTATAACAGTGAAAAAAGATTATTATTTTTTTTAAATCCAAACTATTGTGACACAGGATCTAATTAGTGGCACTTGTCAGCGTATCCACTATTGGCGTACACCCGCTTTAAGGACGCGACTGCTATTCAATCTATAACAGTAAAAAAAGTTTTTGTTTTAAATCCAAGCTATTGTGACGCACCAGATGTAGTGGTGGCACTGACTGAGAAGGAAAATGGGCACAGTATGCACTGTGAGCCTGACACAGAAGCCGGCAGCAGTGGCAGAACACTGACTGCTATTCAATCTATAACAGTGAAAAAAGTTTTTTTTTTTTAAATCCAAGCTATTGTGACACCAGATGTATTTGGTGGCACTGACTGGGGAAATGGGCACAGTATGCACTGTGAGCCTGACTCAGAAGCTGGCAGCAGTGGCAGACAACTGACTGCTATTCAATCTATAACAGTGAAAAAAGTTTTTTGTTTTTAAATCCAAGCTATTGTGACACCAGATGTAATTGGTGGCACTGACTGGGGAAATGGGCACTGTGAGCCTGACACAGAAGCTAGCAGCAGTGGCAGACAACTAAGTGCATTTACATTACATAGAAAAAAAAAATCCAAAAAAAGCATACCCTTATCCCTAACCTAGCTATGCTTTTCCCTATCTTATGAACAGCAGCTACACTTTCCCTCCTCTTACTAAGCATGCAGCTTGAGAATGAATCTAAAATGGATGCTGTCCAGTAGGTGGGAGGGTCTACTAGGGAGGCTGTGCTGCTAATTGGCTGGAATGTGTCTGCTGACTGTGAGGTACAGGGTCAAAGTTTACTCAATGATGACGAATAGGGGGCGGGTCGAACCGCGCATATGTTCGCCCGCCGTGGCGAACGCGAACATGCTATGTTCGCCAGGAACCGTTCGCCGGCGAACCGTTCGGTACATCACTAGTAGGGTATCAAATATACTCCACCCTTGGGTTTTTACGTCCAAGGTGCATTAACTTTCACTTATTCCCATTAATTATTCCTATTATAGTGTAAATTAAGTAGACTAAGATATTCTACATGTTGTATATTTAATTAAACCTATAAGCTAAAAATTACTTACTTAGTGTTTGCATGTATTTATATTAGTTTAAAAGTTAGAGAGTTTGATCTGCAATTACCTAAATATCCAGTCAAGTTTACTCAGGAAAGGATTACAATATTTGAAATGTTTTATTATTATTATTATTATTATTGCCATTTATATAGCGCCAACAGATTCCGTAGTGCTTTACAATATTATGAAAGGGGATTTAACAATAAATAGGACAATTACAAATAAACTTACAGGAACAATAGGTTGAAGAGTACCCTGCTCAATCGAGCTTACATTCTATAGACCCTTAGTACCAAATTGGTTTACTAAGTATATGTCACACAGCAGGTCGGTGGAGACCACGTGCCCGGTTAGCAAATCCCAAGATTGTAATGACCAGGGAACACAAGACAACCAGGGTTTCCGGTCTTACCATGCGATCCATGCGTATGGTGTACTATCAGACCGGGTAGTAGGCCTTCCCTAGTCTTGTTACCCGAGCAAGGCAGTGCCTGTTTGCTCCATGAAGGTCTCCATATCTCATGTCATCTTGAAATGGGAAAAACTGTCTGCGCAGTTTGTTCGCAATGGTCCGGATATCCAAAACAGAATGCGATACTCTGTTTTATATAGCGCAGAATATACCAAAACCTGCACTCTTGTAATACCTGAGGCTCATCCGTTAGCCGTACCGTCTCCAGGAGTGTGTGTAAATAAGTGAGAGTCTCCCCCCGATATACCTCTGTGAGTATTTCTCGCGTGTGGTACAGTGGTCCGGATCCAGTAGATCCATTATAGGAGATAAAATAGAGGGATCCAGTCTAAATCCTGCATGATCAGGCAGCCCTCTATAACGAAATCAGTAGCACAGTCGTTAGATCTAATTGAATGCAGGAGAGACGCCCCTCTATGCAGTCATCGAGGTCTTGTACAGGTACAAGCCTGTGTAATGAACAAATGGATGGCACCATAGTGTATGAGAGAGGCGTGCTCTCTAATAATGTGACCGAACTCCGTGTCAGCGTCCGGCTGATAGTCTGAGCGGGCCGCACCCGCTAATAACCAAATAATAGCGTCTACATCCATGACCGGTTTTCTCTACGAGAATGTGTCACTCAAAACATGTCTTCTGTATCCAGCACAGTATCAGGCTGAGGTTAAGGGAGGGCTGCTCCCTCTAATAACAAATCAGTGGACGGTTCCGTATATGAAAGGGGTTCGCTCTCTGTACGTGCAAGTAAAATATAATTTTCGGGTCGAAGTGATGGAGGGCCGCACCCTCTTGTAATCCAAACTAGAGTTTCTTAGAGACTTAGGGTGACCCACTGCAGGGATACACCATTTACTAATATCAGTATAAGACTGAGATCCTGAGGTGGGTCTCTCTCTGACCACAAGACCTCTCTCTGTATCGCCCCCCTGAAATGGAATCAACTGTTAGTAAACCAGACCGATGGAAGATGAAATAGTATACAACCTCGGGCCGTGTCCATCCTTAATAATAGAAAGGGATGGTGATGGAAACTACCAACTGACCGCCCGGATCCCGTGCACACGCGCTGGGTCCAGGATAATCGACAGTAGCCTGAGGAAAGCTGGAGACGTTCTACACAATCCACGAGAGCCCAGGAGGTCGGAGGAGGTCAAGTCAGGCCTCGCGACGACCTGAGCGATAGGACAATTGGAAGGCTTGGAAACCAAGAAACGACGAACAATGTAGACGGTAAATACATACCTCGGAGAGAAGGTAAATAGTAGATCGGAACTGCTAGCCAAGTAAACCCAACCGAAGGAGTCAGGAGCTGAACCTGACGTAGGACCAACTACCAAATACCTAAGATGGATACCGAGAAGGCAGCTAAATGGTTAGTTGCTGAAGGCAAGGCAACCGTGCTCCCCTGTTGGCGTTTGAGCGTTGGTCCCTGCTTGTGCGAAATTCTCTTTGGAGATGCGCCACCGCCGGGTTGGTGTAAACCACGGTGGCGCGCCCGGGGATCCTCATAAAAAACCTTGCCCCGCAGGGCATGAGACTTAGGGCATTCACCCATCCAATCATATTGAGATGCCCGTATACTGGTGTCCTCTTGGTTAGTAAGGCAGCAGTGCTTGCATGGACACCCACCTATGTCCATGTCAATAGAGGGTACTGGGCTTTTCTCAGTGATATCCTCCCAGGCCTGTGGCCAAAAGGGGTTTCGGGCCCAGATAGTTCAGGTCGACCAAGGGACCCAGATAGTGCAGGCCAGTCAGGACGGCATAGGTATAGCAGGCCCATCAAATGGTCACAGACATAGCAGGCCAAACAATGAGGCACAGACATAGCAGGCCAATCAATGAGGCACAGACATAGCAGGCCAATCAATGGGGCACAGACATAGCAGGCCGATCCTGGGTTCTGTCTAGATGGGCAATAAGGGATCCCTGTGTATGGTCAGATTCCCTTAAATATTTCCCAATCTTCAGGGTACCCTGTGACATAGGGCCCCCAGATACCAACCCCTTTAGACAGTGTAATACTGTGTAATGACATATAACTGGGACTTGTTGTCCCTAAATGCCCAGCAGGCAAATAGTGGTATTCGAGTTGTGTAGGGCATAAGCTGAAAAAGTTCCAGTGATAATAGTGTCCATTAAAGCATGATATACTGAGTGATACATTTTTTAACTGAGAATAGGTTATGCACATAAGCATGGAGACCAGAGATTACTTCATCGAGTTATGCATCATCAGCATGCCATCCGAAGGTT